ACAGTTCCAACAACCTTTCTGGCTGGATACCAGCCTTTCCTGCTGTGGCATCTCCCCTGTGTTGAAGTTGCCAGCATTGAGCTCTCTTGTGCCCAAGTTTGTTACAGTGCAAGCAAAGTCCCTCAAACTTCTCTGAAAGCTGACCTTTTCTGGCCTTGAATCCAGATGACTGTACCAATCTCGGTACCTCTGTGCTGGACTTAACGTAGGATTCAAATTCGAGAGCCATTGCATCCTGCATGGTAGAGGGGTGTGCTTGCTTCACTTGTATCTTTAGTTGTGGACTGTCCAAGGCATCTACAAACTGATCTCTCAGCAACAACTTGAGGAGATCGGGTGGTGCAGTTGGGTAGGCCTTGTGTGCCATGCTATCCAAGTCCTGTGCCAGCTCTTGCAGGCTCTCTCCTTTAGCACAGACTCTCGTCCTGAACCTGGCCCTGTAGACTTCTGACTGGTTTTGGGTTCCGTATCTGAGTTCCAGAGCCTCTACCAGTGTTCTATAGTTGTGTCTGTCGACTGCTGTCAACTGTCCATGTATTTCCAGTGGTTGTCCCTTCAAGCTCTTTGCCAGATATACAGCTTTCTGTTCCTCTGTCCATCCATTCATCTCTGCCAGTAGCTCGAATTGTGCCCTATATGCTTCCCATGGTGCCTTCCCATCGAATTCCTGTGGCTTCCTTCACACTGGATCACTCCTATTACTGACATTCATATCTGGGATGTGACTTCTAACTGGACTGAATATGTCTGCATTAGGGTTTAGCTGCGGGCTCTGTAAGGGGCTTGCCATTGTCTGGGGCTGATTAAGTCGATGGTCAACGTATCCTCCTTGTGTAACACACAACAAATTGTTCTTTAACGTATCTAATTCGCTTTTAAATTTACTGATGCTTTCCATTTGTACCTCTTGCAATTGTTGTTGATTTTCCTGTAGTTGCTGCTGACTTTCCTGCAACTGTTGGAGACGTTCTTCCTGTTTCCTTTCTTGTTCCAGTTGCCACTGCTGTAATCTCTCTTCTTGTTTCTTTTCTCGTTCTTCTTGTTTATTTTCTTTTTTCCTCCAACAACTGCTGTAATATCTCTTCTTGTTTCTTTTCTCGTTCATTTTCTCGTTCTTCTTGTTTCTCTTCTTGTTTATTTTGTTGTTCGAGCTGCCATTGTTGCAGGTTTTCTTGCAACTGCTGTTGTCTCTCTTCCTGTTTCTTTTGCTGTTCTTGTATTGCTGCCATCAAATCTGCTAAACTGTAGTTTGATTTGCAGCTTCTCGTTTCCATCTTCTCTTTTTCTTCTTCTTCTTTTTTATCCCACTTCTGACACCAATTTGTTACGTCTCCGTTTGTTAATTGATTTTATTAAGAAAGAACTTGTGTCGCTTAAGTTTCGTCGGAACGAAGTTACGGAAAACTGGTTTATTATTTCCGAATATAACTCTGCGATACACTTAATCTCAATACTCGCGCTAAAACAACACTGTAACGAACGAACGTTAACTTCAACAATACCGTGTGACTGCAGTTCAATTACTCACTATCTACACCTTACCGCGTCACGTTGTCCCCTCCTATATATATACCAGCGTAACCTATTTCTAGTAAGAACTTGAACATTCGACAAAGTACATGATAGTTCTAGAACCGTTGCGTCACAGTGTCATGTGACTCGCTGACGCAACAATAAGATTATGTTATCTATGCACTACAAGAGAGATATGTGCATGATATGATGTCCATGTACAATTAAAATTATCTTAAAGTTACTGTAGAAGTAGTTGTGTAATCTGACACGCCAGTGTTTATATTGCTTTTGGCAGTAATATTGCAATATTCTATACTATACAGCTCTTTCTGGTGTTTAGCCATTGGAAATAATGGTTAATATAGACGCGGTTGGGACTTTCGACGAAAAAGTTAAAGTATCAAATACAGGACTCTATAATGATTATACTGTTTATTATCTCTAAATACACCCATTATAGCATTTGACCAATTTATGTAAAACTGTAGTACTTTGTTGTTATCTTCTTTATTAAGTTATAGAGATAATTTGACACATTTTACTGAATTGTTTGTTTGTTGCGCATAGCTACACAATGGTCTATTTGTCCTTTACTCACCGTGAGTATCCAAACCCGATATTTAGAGTTATAATCCTTCAGACTTAATGCTGAACTACTGAGGGAGATTGTTGTGAAAGGAGAGCAAACATTTCTCAGATCTCTATTAGTGTCTGTATTTATTGACGCCCTCAAAACAATTTTAACATTAGGATATTATGTCGTGAGCATATTTTCAAATGGTTTTGAGAAAAGGCTTAAAAATCAATAATTTCACGTAAGTAAAAATGCTATGTTTTCTATTATGTATGAAAAGAAAACTAGGTACTTGTCAAATTTTCTGCTGAAACTTTTAACACACAATAGAGCAATCTTTCTAATTATCACTAGGTTGGCTCCTGTATCTTTAATACCGAAGCTTTAATTTTACTAGTTTTGTTGTTGTTGTTCTTTTTATCAGTGACAGCATATTTAAGAATTTTCAAGATGGTCATATATGTTTAATACACATAAATAAGATATTTTGTGGTATCTTTGGTGCGTTATTGCATCAGCTACATTGTCTAGATTTTATTTGGTTATTACTAATAAAGAAATCTTCACGTCGAACAACAAATTATAGGGGTAATAATTTGGCTCTGTGTGAGAATTTAAATGACATATAGACACAAAATCTGTGCAAACAAGAGGGATCTTTGCTTACAAGCATGTCTATGGACTAATAACGCTGAAATCCGGGATTCAATTCCCCGCTGTAGACGCAGCTGTTAGCCCAATGTGATTTTGTTATAAAACAAACAAAACGAAACTTACAAGCACGAGTAATAAAGTGCCAGAAAGAATAAGTTTCGGACAATAACACTTGTATTTACTTTCGTCGATAATTGTCATTTTCCATTAGGTATTTGAATTATGTTAGCCTTAACGAGTTCATAAAATTACGTGGAACCAGATACAACTTTGGTTAGCATGGACAATCGATATTCGGTTGATTAATCGTATGTGCGTGTGTCTCTATATATTGTGTTTCTTTTTGGAGACTTTATTTCCAATGAGGATATCCAGTCAGGACAGGTAAAAACAAAACAAAAAGATACATTATTAAATCATTAACTTGACGAGAAAGGTGTATATTGAAGCATTTGAGACATTTTATCGAAATTACAAATGCTTCTAGGAGAGAAAATTGAATAGTCTATGTATGCCATAAATACCTGTCAGTTGCAGCAAGGATATGCACATTTAACAAAAGTATAATAGAAGCTTCGTAAAGACGATTGTCCAAATAAGAAAATGGATGTTTACAAATGGCTGAGATGCGTCGTCGAATCGCGACATCATATGGTTTGTCTAAACTGTATAAACAGACGCTATCATAGCAGAGGGAAAAGTTACAGAAAGTTTGGGTAACATTGCTAACTACAAAAATGAACTGATAAACAAAAAAGAGAGATACACGCAAAGAAGCAGCCGTTTAACAGCATCTGACCATATCCAATTTTGTCCAGTTTTGATTCAAGCAGTCAGCAGTGATTCAGCAAAATTAAACCACTTGGATGAAGGACATACTTGTGGATTGGACTTGCGATGGTACTTGACAAATCGCAATATCACGGGAAATTATGTATAAAATATACATAAATAAATAAAATGTTATCCTTCAGTCTAGCACAATTCACATTAATAATTTCAACCCACACTTAATATAACTTACTTCTCATGTAACCAAGAACTACGTTACAGTAGTCCTTCATTCCTTGTTTTATACCTAAATATTTACTTTTTCATTTCTCCAGTGTGTTTTTAGATCACAGGTTTGCATGTACAAGCATCGATAATGTAATGTATTGTCAAATATGTACTTTTTTATTTATTTTCCGCCGTTCTTATACCCTCACTTTATATTTGGAAAGATTTCAATTACTTAAATTACTTGTGGAAGAAAACGAGGTGTTTCTTTCTTCATATCAGTTTCCTTTAGAATCAGTTCCTTCATTTATAGGGGAAAAAAACAGCATATTATTTTTTCTAATAATTTCACAGGCCAACTTATGTAAGGAATTATATTTACTGACTATATAGCATCACAGCTCATACTAGAAGTTTTTAGAACCCTGCTTAACTTGACTTAGTTTCATTTATGCCTATGAGTTATGAGAACTTTATTCTCTTCTTGTATTTATTTCAAAATAATACATGGTACTTGAGTTTTATGTACTAAAAGTAATTAACTATTCTCATTTTAGAAGTTTTGAACTATGTATAGTGTTACGTCTCCGTTTGTTAATTAACTTTCAGTAACTTCGTTCCGACGAAACTTAAGCGACACAAGTTCTTTCTTAATAAAACTGGTTTATTATTTCCGAATATAACTTTACCAATACACTCAACTTCAACAATCGCGCTAAACAAACGCTGTAACGTCTCTCGTGCTCTCTAACTGCAGTTCAATTACTCACTATCTACACAGACATTACATTCCCCTCTTTTATATACCAGCCTACCCTATATCTAGTAAGAACTAGAACATTCGCCAAAGTACATGATAGTTCTAGAAACGTTGCATCACAGTAGTCATGTGACTCGATGACACAACAATAGTATTAGTAGGAAACATGATAAAGATTATCATTTAAACTAAGTATATGTTTCTTTAGTAGCACTTTTACACCTGTAATAAAATATCATTGTTTAAATGCTATTGGTACTTTTAGCATCACATAGCTAACATGAAAGTTGCTCATTTGTTCTCTTATTCTACAGGTTCTTTGGCATTTGGACATTTTCAGAAGAAGTTTCCGAGATATCAAAGGTCATACGTGTATGGCAGAGTCTTGTATATTTTGTGCTTTAAAGGTAAGTTTAAAGTTATGACAAACCTCTCAAAGTCTCTTGGTTTTTATTCCATTATGGTAATGGTCACAGCTTTAAATTTTTCCATCCAGTTTTAGTTTTTCTAAGTACTGTTTATAAAATTATGAGTTTTGTTTACTTTAGTACTTAATAGAAAATTTAAGACATGCTCATACACTTGCCTTTTAGTTTGACATCATTGTGAAAATAAATTAATGTTTCCACATAGTTTTTTAAGACATAACTTGAAAGTTGAACTAAATTTGCTAACTTTCCCTAATGTTGGTTTTCCAACACTACCAGAATACTTTGTGGCATTACAAGGTTAAACCAAGCACACAATTACCTGATATTCCCAACAATGAGAGGTTTGCAGGACAGGTGTAGTGATTTGTGGCAGCTGGAATGAGAGAAACAAGACTCAATATGAAGAGATATGAAATGAAACACTTTATTGATGAAAGAATGGATTACACACTGGCTGATCATTTACTTGAGAAGGAATATTGTATTGTTGTAGATTAAAACTACAAGAAATAAACTGTATTTAAATGTAAAGTAAGTAAAATGAAAATAAACTTTACTTGAAATAAACTGAAAACTGGCAATGCAGTTGTTAGTGAAAATATAAGTATACCCAATCAGCATACTGAAAAGAAAATGCTTAGGGAAGCCAGAACAAAAACTAAACTTCACTAGCAAGTCTTAACTCTTTCAAATAGAAATGTCAGTCTGCTCTCACAATTTACATTCTCACTGTAGATGACCAATAAAAATTGAACAAAAGTGCATGGTCATATCTCTGCTCCTTGTGACTGTCTTAGAGTAGTCCCAAATACATAAAGCAATACAAGTATCCATAAAACAGAAGATAGGCTTCTTGACCAAATACTGCTACAGCATGTACTATCTAGGGTTGCATTACACTTTAATTTTATTAAGCTTTTATGTTGCTCTAACAGGGTTTACAGGAGCAGTGTGTATAGTTAAATATTACAAAAATATCATGAATACTTAGTCTTACAGCGTACTAGATTGAAAGTTATATGTTCCAAAGCTAGCACTCTAACCCATGTATTATCTGTTGTGTTTTCACCTTGTAATATCTCAGAAGAAGCTGTAATACTGAAAGTCTAATAGTAAAAACAAATGTTTTCTAGAGTTATAAGATCCTAATAATTTCTTCTTTATTTCCTGTTATATTAAGTGTATATTATGTTAATTTGGTTGTAGATTCAATTATAATGATTTTGAAAAGGAAGGTAACAAAATGAGTTCCAACTAAATCTCAGATGTGTTTGTGTGTAAAAATGTTAAACTATATCATAATATCATAGCTTCAAATAAAGTAAAAATAAAAGCCACTAAGAATTCTATTTAGGAACTCTTTACCCAGTTCCAGTATAGTAGAGAGTCTTCCCTTCCACCTGATGCTTTAAGATTGGCTTTGGCTGAAACATTTTTTGACCAGCGTCGATTTCAGCTTGGTTTTATGGATGATGCTTTAGAATGTTTTGTAAGTAATTACATATCAGTTATAAGACTAATTATCAATGTTAATTTTACCTAAATTACATAAAAAAAAGTTAATGATAAACTGTTATGATTTGTAGCTTAAATATCAAGTCAATCAATTCATGAAGTTTGATATTGAAATCTCATGCAAATAAATATTGAGCTTAAATTTCTAGAAAGAATCTTTTATATAAAACTAAAACATCTTTTAACTTAAACAACTTGAACTATACTCAGAACATTTCTATTTCTAACAAGTAATGAACCTAGAGAAAGTCCCCCCCCCCCCCCCCATCTACTATGATATAATTGCCAAATTATAATTTTGCTTTTGTTAAATTGTTAGGAGAATATCCTGATGAGAATCCACTTTCACATAGCTAACCATGAACCAGAAAACATGTGCACCGCAAGCCACTGTATTCCTCATCAAAAATTTGCTATGACTTTAATAGAACAGGTAATGCTGTTTGGATATTGTTTTATTGATGTAAACAATCTAATAGTTACCTAACTTAAAAACTTTTTGTCTGCTATTTCATAGGCAAAAAAAAGGTTACATTACCATATTACTAAAATCAATTCTTTGTAACATTTTTTGGCAAGTCTTGTTTGTTTGGTATTTTCATTGGATTAGTACTGCATAATCTATTGATGATACACCTTCATCAGGTTACTTTGTTTTCTTTTATGTCTTGTAATTAGCATTTTGGATGGTATTAATTTAGTTTAAACATGCCCACTTGTTGGCAAACTGAACATCTACCATTTTATCTTTGAGGTTATATTGTTGAATTCTTTTTTTTCTTTTTGTTATCTCCATGAAATGATGTTTTATACCTTTATGTTCATATGCAAATAAAAATTTGTGTATTTCCAAAAAAGGCTCGTATGTTTCTTGAAGCTGTTTCTACTAATCTCATCTTTCAATATCAATGTTTTCAACCTCCATTTTTATCATATTTATGTATTTTAAGCTTTTCTTTATTGTCAGTGTCCTCACATGTCACCAGAAACAGTTTTATTATAAGGATTATAATATCAGTACACCAAATATTTGATAATACCTTTCTATAGTTTTCCATTATTATATCAAAACTACAGTTTAGGTTACATCCAGTATATTCATCTTTTTCAGAATGTATGTCATGAATGTGGAGCAACTTCTGAACCACTTCCTTTCACTCAGATGATCCATTATGTTTCATCTTCTGCTTTGTGGTGAGTTTTCAATCTATTTAAACTTAAATGCCAACTTCATAAAGCATTATTCATTAGTATTTGGTACTTTCAACATGAAAGGCACCTTATGTGAACATGGGCTAAATACTAAGACAGAGACCCTGAGTTCAGATATAGTTACCCCAAATTTTGAAGTAGTAACTAGAAAATAGCCAGCCAGTCATTAGAATCTCTCACTACAAAATTGCAAATAGCTTGCATGCTTGATTGATCCCAGTGGATTATCCTTCCACAGCTGTAAACAAACAAATTCAACATCATACACTAAACAACCAAATTGAACATCATACACCATACCCAGGTATTACCACTAATCAGTGGTGGGATTCAGCCGGTTCGCACCGGTTCGTGCGAATCTGTTCTTTCTGGCCCCTCCTTTTTTTTAATATCTAATATTTTTACATGCTGCTAGTGAGAGAACCTGTAGTTAAAATATTTGAATCCCACCACTGCCACTAATTAGATAGAAGTTACTCACATTCTATGTAAACAAGTTTAACAATAAAATACCATTTTTGGCAAAAATTCAGAATAATGGACAAGAACTACTACAAAATTATAATCTCCTTGCTCTAGAGAAATCTTTGTCCAGTTTAACACTTTATCCAAGTACTACTTAAATGATTAAGTGTCAAGTGTTAGCAACTTGTTGCACAAAAAAAATGACCAATGATCAACCAACATCACTGAAGGTATCTCTATAATCTCCAGTACATTATATATGATTGGAAGGTATTATCTGCTGAGATTAACCTTTCATTCATACAAAAGGATATTCCATACTCAAAAATGTTTTTATGGCCAGGACTGGCCCTAGTAAAAGTGGAGCCCATATCAAGATGTATATTGGGGGACCAATATAAAATAAAAATATTATATCAAGAACAATTTATTGCAACAAGTACAAATTTCCACTGTATTTCATATGTAGTTATCATTGAGTAAACCTGTCAAAAATAACATTTACTACATTTAATGGAAAAGAATTCTGAAATGAGATTACTGTACTTTAAAGTTACAGCAGTATCATTCTCAATGGAGAGGACAGCTAAGTTAGTCAAGCAATTCTGCAGTGTCGTTGATTGCAAATAAGTCTTTATGAGCTTAAGTTTAGAGAAAACTCTTTCTCCTGAAGTAACAGTAACTGGAATATTTAGGAGGATACATAATGCAGTGGTGAAGTTAGGAAAGTCCGCAGACTGTTTGTTGGAAGCTATGATGTTCAAAATCTTCAGAGTATTGGTCTGAATTTCATTTGGAAGAGTGGGTTTTAAGTTTTACATCTCCTCTGCAAGCATGAAGCCATCAATGTTGTGGTGTTCACGAGCTGTTAGTACTATTTCCAGATCTTTTGCATTTCTGACTCCAACAAATTTCTGAAGTTGAGATGTTTGGATTTATTTACATTATGTTCTTGAAGTTGTTTGCACCATTGATCCAATGAGTTCATCCATAATTTAATTGAAGCAGGGAATTCTAAAATCTTCTTGTACTTCTTCAGTTCGCTGGTCTCTACCTCCATAGGCAAATATTTTCTTTCTTCTACAGACTCTTGTGTTTGTGAACACTGGTTACAATTTCTCTTGCATCAGTCAGTGCATTGACAAAACCACTATTCCAGTATTCTTTCAGCCATTTACATATCCTCTCCAGACTCTCTATGGTGCTAGCCAATTGTTTGCTATCATTTTGCAGATCTTTGCTGATATGGTTAACTTCAAAGATGATGTCATACCAAAATATGACAGCAGTTATGAACTTGAAGTTCTTCAACTCCATACAAAGTGATTCTTCTTCACTTGTTGCTTGAGGATTTTTTTTTTTTTGCTGTCTCAGCAATTTCAACAAGAGCATCATAGATTTGGGCAGTTTGATATCAAACAGCCTTCACACTTTGAACATGGCATTCCCATCTTGTTTCACTTAGTGGCTTCACAGAGAGGTCATGAACATATTTGTGGAAGACTGTCCACCGGTGAGTTGGGCAAGAAAACATACAAGAATTGAATTACCCTGAAGAATGAGTTAGCATGATAGCATGTTTTTGCCATGTCACTGAGCAACAGGTTGTAGTTATGACATGCACATGGATTAAAGAATGCTCTTGAATTGATATGTAAAAGTCATGCTTCAACATTCAAAATGTGTCCTTTCATGTTAGCACCATTGTCATAACCTTGTCCATGGATGTCACCAAGTTCCAAGCACAGTTCTTCGAGTTCTTTCAGCAAAACTTCCAATAAAGTTTCCCCTATACTTTCTGTGACTTTAATAAACTTTATGAAGTGCTCAAAAATTTCACTTGAAACATCTGATGATCCATCTGAGACTTGTTGGAGAGTTAATGGCATTTAGTACCACAGAGAAATACTTGGCTATTTTTATTCTCTCTACAATGGTTGTCCACACTTTGTTACCCATAATTGAGATTATTTCATTCTGAATTCACTTCCCCAGGTATTGATCATGAATTTCATCATCTATAACTCTTCTGACATGTTACTGCATGACTAGATCAAATTTTGCAAATAATTCTACAAGCCCCAAAAAATTTCCATTGTTTGAGTGATAAAGTCTATCAACTGATCCTTGACATTCCATCTTGTGTTCAGCCAGGAACTGCACTATGGCCAGAAGTCGATCAAAAATATTTCTCCAGTGAAGTTTTTCAGAGTTGATGATAAAATTCTGGTTCAGTTGATCCATGGTTTAATCTTTGCTCAAGTTCCATCCATTGTAGAGCAGTTGTCAAGAGTCCCTGTGATCGCTCATGTTCAGACAGGCGCGACCTAGTATTTACCCAGTCACAAAATCCATCACATCCTAAAGCATTGTTGGAGTTACCGAAAGAGGTTGCAGCAGAAGCAAAAAATTCATTCCTTTGATGTAGAGTAAACTAGCCATTGACGATTACCAAGTTCACCATTTTCTTTCTTTTGAAGTTACTATTTGAAAACTTTCATCCATTGCGATCTCTTTGGAAATTGTACTATTCATCTCATTGTGGGCCTTTACTTACTAGAAGATCTCAGATAGCCATATCACTATGCTTTTGCCAACATGCAGGATCATTGAAATGCAAACTGTCCAAATCTCTAGAATCAGAATGTTGAGTTATAGTATCATCATATGATTGCTCATCTCCAGGAGGTTGTCGACATCATTAGCACTATCATCATTCATTCCAATGACACCTGTATAATCATTGTCATACTATTCATTCTTTTTAACTGCACCATCTCCTTGGTCAATCTTTATAGTATTCTGGTGGATTGTGGAGAGCGTGTTATGATTGGTTGGTTTATCCCTGTTTCTGATTGGTGGAGAGACTTCCTGTAGATTCAAACAATGGTAATCACGTGTTACTCACCTTTAATCTGGAATCTCTGTTTAGTGAAGGTTTCATTGTGTTAATGTAAAATCATTCTTTACTTTTTCTTATTTCCAAAATTTGTCTGTGTCAATGATTCTAGTTTTTCCCAGTTTATTTTGTGTCCAGTTAACATGGTGTGTTCTGCAATGGCTGAATTTTGTGTTTTCATGAGTTTATGTTCTTTAATTCTCAATCTGCTTGGGCTTTTGAAGAAATTGTTCAAATGTTCCACACATTTTTTTAAGTTTAGCTTTCCTGTCTGCAGCATGCTTCCTTTTCTGATTACCACTGGGGTACTTCTGACCAGTATCTCATAATCACTTTGGCAACATCTGAAACAAAAATATGTAGGTTCTTTATTGTTATTATTATATAATATATTTCTTATCTATTTGCATATATTTATTTACATATGTCATGAATATTTAAGTATCTATGGGGTGCAGGGCCCCGTCTTTGTTTGCTGTGCTCTAAGGCTGCCTCTGTTTATGGCTCAAAGGTTTACCTCTGATCACCAAATGCCTGTTTTGTTGCTCTCTCACAGAAATGTTTCCTTAATTAGCCAATTGTTGTTTATATTTCCTTCTAATTGTGAGACAAATCAAATTAAATGTCTTTTTTTAGGCAGGAAAGGGTTCTCTATCCATCATACTTCAATTCTAAAATTATTAACAATATTTATATATCGAAATCATACTAAAGTTTATCAATTCATGCTGACATTGCTATTAACAATGTAACAGGCCTGCTCCCCAGTAAGTCTAAAGGCTTAAAAATGGGTTTTGAATATCCATAGTAGGCACAGCACAGCACAGATAGCCCATTGTGTAGCTTTATGTTTAACAACAAACAAACAAACAAAGTACAGGCCTAACATTCACTCACACTAACAAATCATTCATACAGGACCATTATTAAAATTACTCAGAAAAAAAGATTTAATTTCACAGTTGAAGGTATTACTGCATGTACCTTCATGTATGCTCCCCTCTACCACCACTGTAAAAATATCATTAACGATAATAAAAGCCATTAACAATTATCTTTTAAATTATGTGTGTGTATACTGCATGAAAACGTACTGTAAAAATATCACCTTTTGTGATTATAAACAACTGATTTACAGTTTTCAATCTTAATACTATAAACTTAATTGAAGAAAACAGCAGTTTTAAGTAAGAAAAAATAATATAATGTTCAAAAAGCTTGAATGTTAGATAGTATAAAAATCAAAATGTTGTTATCCTAGCTCTCAAGCAAGCCTTATGATTACAAAGCAAAGGGATCCTACTGAATCTTTTGGTCAGTTACTACGACAAGCAGGAAGCATGGGAGAAATATGTAACTGCCCAGTAAGTCAATCCTTCCTTGAGTTTCTATTTCAAAATCAAACTAGTACATTTTATAATATTATAAACAAATTAGGAATTTGTGAATAATTTATATAACAGTTTTACCAATTTTATACCTGATATTATTGAAAATAACATAACAATGATAGTGCATGCATTCATTGAAATTATGGTTTCCATTATTTTGAAAAGAAGTTGACATTTATAAAATTGACATAAATTGTTTAAAAATAAGTATTTGTGATAAAAATTATGCAATGACTCTCAAAATTTTGTTTTATCACCCAAGTGTGTTCTGTGTTTTAAGGTAATTTTAATCTCAGTTTCACAAAACCTAATTCAATATTTGACAAATTATATCTGAAAAGATGAGTAATCAAAAGTAAAAAACACAAAAACTGAAGTTTTTTGGCACAATGAAAAGTCAAATCTTTATTATTAGTTGCAGCTGACTAGTTACCATCATCGGGGCTAGTATCTACAGTGTTAGCATATATTCAGCTACAACCATTATGTGTTCATTTTTAAAAACAAAGTCAGAAAACAAGGAGTGAAAATTAAATTGTAAATGAGAGATTACTTAAGTTAACTAAGTATTCCGATAGGATACATTGGTTGGTCCATTGTCTATAT